AAGGGGGGTGGTCCCTGGGGAGTTCTGGGGGCTTTGGGGTCCCTTGGGGATCCATGTGGGAACTGGGGGTGCTCAGGGGGTTCCTCTGGGGGTGCTGGGGGGAAATGTGGGGTCCTGGGGATATCACCCATGGGTGCTGGGGGACGGTGCTGGGGGGTGCAGGAGAGGAACTGAAGGCGCTGTGGGGTGTTCTCAGTTGTTCTCTGGGGGGGGTCACTGACCTTGTCCCATCCCCCAGGGCTGCGGCAGCGCCGGAGAGTCCCAGAGAAAAGGGGGGCCCCCACCCAGCCCCCCCCAGACCCCCTGGGCTGGTTCGGGGTGCTGGTGCCCCCCAGTCTGCGGCAGGCACAGGGCAGCTTCCAGAAGGGTGAGAAGGGGGGCCTGGCACTGGGGAGTGCCTGGGGACCCCCCAAAACTAGGGGGGATCTGGGGGGGGGTCCCTGAACCCTGGGGGGAACTTGGGGATCCAAAGCAGGGGGGTCCCAAATCTGGGGTGTCCCCAAAGAAAAGGGGATCAACAAAAGTGGGAAGGGCCCGAAGGTCATGACCCCACATGAGCCCTTTGGCCCCAGGGGTGACTCTGGCCGTGGAGGTGGCCGAGCTCCAGGGCACCGTGGACGCCGCGGCCACGCGGTACCGGCACCTCCTGCGGCAGAAACGGCTCCTGGGCGGGGACAGAGGGGACAGAGAGACCTCTGGGGACAGCAGCGCCTCAGGAACCCTGGGGGACACCGAGACCCCCAGCAACACTGAGACCCCCAGCAACACCGAGACCCCCAGCAACACCGAGACCACGGGGACGCCGGATGACGTCAAGGCCCAGGGAGACACCAAGGGTGGCACAGTGACCGCAGGGGACACAGGGACTGCGTGACATGGACACTGAGAGGACCAGGGACACTCTGCAGGTGACACGGGGGACACTGAGGTGGCACCATGACCCACAGGGCCACAAGTAACAGAGCCATGATAACACTTCACAGGTGACACAGAGCCTGCCCAGGTGACACAGCACCTGCCCACGGGTGACACTGAGTCCCCAAGGACCCTGCAGGTGACGCTGAGACCCACTCGTGGGTGACATGGAGCCCCCAAGGACCCTGTGGGTGACACTGAGCTCCACCAGTGGGTGGCAGTGCTGTCATCACCCACGTGACAGGACCACCCCAGGGCCCCCCGTGTCTGCCCC